CGTCGATCTCCCACAGTAATCTTAACCTGTTTATGCTGAAAAACTCTTCCCTGAGAGGCAGAGTACAGGTTCTCTGAATGCAGATTGAGGAAAGGTAGTTAATTATAAAGTAGTAGACTTGGTCACCTGTGCTGTGGCAAGTCTGACTGTTTATGTTTCAGATATTCCATGAGAATCATTTACTGTATTTATCTGTCAAATTTTTTTGGAGTTTCTCTTTTGGACATGGCTGGTGACTAGTTCCCAAAGACAACGTGTTTCCAGATGTTATAAAAAGGAGGCATGGTTGAGGACTTCTTGAATGTTTTCACTCTGAATAGTTTACTCTTTTCAAAATACACATGGTAGAGAGTGCCTGCAATGGCAGGTGCTTTTGAACTGTGAGGCTTTTAGGCTGTTCTCTAGGTAGCTGATCAACAGCACCATGTGAATGTCCATGATATTTGACAATTACAGGTGGAAATGTTCCTGAAGCGGGTTAGTAAACCTGAGGAGGAAGCCCCATCCCAGCCAGTCACCCCTCAGGGTAAAGCAGAGGCATTGTCTGTGAGCAGCAGCGACTCAGAGGGTCAGGAAGGTGTTCCTGCCACACAGACTGCAACGCTGAGTGCTGAAAACCAAAAGCCGTCGTCTTCCAGCACAGCCTGCACAGAACCTGGAGAGAGTAACCTTGAGGAGGTGGTGCAGGATGCTGCAGGGAGGGCTGAGCATGGAACTGGACGACAGCTTGTCTCTCTGGATATTCCCGATTATCTCCAAGCAGAAACAGAGGACACCAGCCAAGGTACATCAGTCTCCTGCAAATTGATGAAATGAATTGGCAGTGGATGTAATGTTGCCTTTCCAAGTTACAATGTCACTACTTATTTACTTTGTTCAAACAGACTCATTAGGTCCAAGGGGCAATGAGGGTGATTGAGAGTTGTGCTAGTGGGACTAGTTTATTCCTGAGTGCCAGAATCCCAGGTCTTGTCTTTAATGCTGACAGTATTTTGTCATAGATAAACAGTCACTGTTGGTCCTCAATATGGTCTAAGAGGTTTCCAATTCAGGCCTCAAGTTTTTGGGTTCTCAGATGCACATTGCTGAGCTCTGCAGAGCATGTGTTGTTAAAATTATTTTGTAGGAGGGGAAAAAAAACCAGTATTTTGAACTTTTCTATTTAATACTATACAAAGGGGAAAGCAGTATTTTTCAGGTTTTTGTATGTAGTTCAATCCTTTCTACACTAATTCAATTAGAAGTCCTACTGTAAAACTCTTGTCTAGATTGGTTCTTACTCATGACTAATATAAGGGCATTAAATTTGTCTCTGATCCACTTGTTTGCTCATTACATAGAGTTTGTCATCAGTTGAAGATTAAGGCTCTTAAATAATGGGTGAACTGTTAGGATTTTTAGGACTGTGACTGATCTCTTGAAATACAGGATGCTCTTTTTTAAATTAAACCACTAATCTGCATAATCTGGTGAACAGTAATAAATTACATTTAGCAGTGTTTTTAAACAGGAGCATCTTATGTCTTGACTCTCACCTAACTACTGATTGCATTCCTAGCCTACAAGAACAGCGACTGTGAACTTTTGCAGTGTCTTACAGCTGTAGGTGAAAAAAGTACCACGAAGAAAAAGAAGAAAAGAAGAAGAAATAAAATTGCCCTGAAACCTATACCTGCTGAGATTGCTGCTGATCCAGAGCTGGTCAAGTACTGGGCACAGCGCTACCGGCTGTTCTCTCGGTTTGATGAGGGAATTAAGCTAGACAGAGGTGTGTTTAGTACTAAATATGCTGACCTGTTGGTATAAGATGTATCCAAACCTGTTGCCCTTCTTGCAGTTTATTACAATTCTTTTTAAAGGAGGAGCATTACTGAATGTGTGTTTGCACCTCTGAATAAATTCCATCCCCCAGAAGGCAGGTAAACAAGGGTCTTGGACTTCAGAATTGCATCTAGTGTGAGGCACCCCTGTCTGCATTTGTCCTGATGTTTGCTGAAGATCATACTGGGCCCAAATTATGCTTGGTCAGGACTTTTTCAGAAATTCAGTGACATTTTCGTGTTTCTATGTTTAAGAAAACAATGTTGTGAAACTTCCAAACAAGCACATGGATCTAGTTTTGTTCTGTTTGTTGCTGACTTTCAGCAGTCACTTTCAAAGCAATTTTTTTCCATGTTTATATGGAAACCACATCCAAATCATAAATTTATAGGTAAAGGAGGAATTAGGATTACTTTTTTTTTTTTGGGTATCTTGGCTTTGTTGATTTTCTAAGCCTTTCTTTTGTAATGCTCTCCCACATAAACATGCAGATTATTTGGCAGACCAAACATTGCTGTGAAGAAAATAACATGTCGGATAAGAAAGAATATATTTCTGGTTTTACTTGCTGCAGAACATAATCATGATGTGTGTAAAGTTTGTCATAGCTGTGTTGCTGGACTTGTCCTGGATAAGCCAGAATCCTCAGCACCAAGTTCAACAAAACGTCTACTGAGATAGAGGCATATCTGTGTGCTTCAGTGAGACTTTGTTTGCTTTGCAAATTGCTGGACTGACCAGTTTATAATCTTCAAAGCCTGTATTGCCTGGTTGAATGCACTGAGCCAAAATACTTGGGATTAACACTAAAGCTTCAGTTGTATGTGGGGGTTGTTTGTTTGGTTTTAATTCAGGTGACCTTGAAATAAGAGGCAAAAATATGTTTCTTCCCTTTCCTTTGCAGAGGGTTGGTTTTCTGTTACTCCTGAGAAAATAGCTGAGCATATTGCTGTCCGCGTTAGTCAGTCGTTCAGCTGCGATATCATAGTGGATGCATTCTGTGGGGTTGGAGGAAATGCTATTCAGTTCGCACTGACCTCAAAAAGAGGTAAGTAAGTGCTGTATATAGTGTGTTATTTTGTTCCTTCCATCTTTTTCCCTCTAAAATTTATATATGTGCTTTGTTTGCTGATTTATTTTTTTCAGTGCTTCTGTAGGAACTGAAGCTTTTTTCAGACTTCTTTCTTTCAGTCTTCAGCACACTCACAATATGAGCTTTCTTATTTTTACAAAGGACCTATAAAACTGCTTTTCTGTTTTAAGTTAGAGTTGGATTTGTGTTGTAGTAGTCAACATTATTTTTATGTGGCATAGTATCTGGTGTGTGGGATGCTCTGAAGATTGCCGGACTTCTGTTTGCAGTGCCAGTCCGCAGAGACACCACAACACTGCTGCTTTTCCCAATTGTTACTCAGGTCTGTGTACTCAAAAGCAGATTGCATGTGAATAGCACTTAAAACACTTGAATGGAATCACCTGCAGATAGAATCATAGAATTTTAGGGGTTGGAATGGACCTTAGAGATCATCTAGTCCCAACCCACCCCCTGCCATGGGCAGGGACACCTCCCCAATAGACCAGGATGCTCAAGGCCTCATCCAGCCTGACTTTGAACACTGCCAGGGTCGGGGCATCCACCACATCCCTGGGCAGCCTGTTCCAGTGTCTCACCACTCTTAAAAAACAAAACTTTCTTTTAATACCTAACCTAAACTTCCCCTCCTTCAGCTTGAACCCATTACCCCTTGTCCTATCATTGCAGTTCAAAGAATCCCGAATCCCTCTCCAGCTCCCTTGTAGGCTGCCTCAGATACTGAAAAGTTGCTATGAGATCTCCATGGAGTCTTCTCCAGGCTGAACAGCCCCAACTTCCTCAGCCTGTCTTCTTAGGGGAGATGCTCCAGTTCTCTTAGCAACTTTGTGGCCTCCTCTGGACTTGCAGCAGAAACAAATACAGAAAAGTTATAACTTAATATTAGTCTAATGGCAGCTAATGGAATTGTACTCAAACATCGAGTACTTTCTGTAAAAACACTGACTACTTGATATTCATCTGCTCATCAAACGCTCTGGTAAAATACCAGTTTATCTAACTCTTCTGAGTAATTTCTGAGCAAGACAAATGGTAGGCTATGATTCATTCTATAAATATCTTCTAAATTTCACTTAGCTTTTTGTATTTCCTGGTTTAATTTTTTTTGCCCATGTATCATCTCTCTTATGCTGTGTTGGGTGGGGCTTTTTTAACCTCAGTTTTAGTACAATGTGATCAGCCACAGATAAATATTTCTCTTTAACAAAGGACAAGAGTAAGTTTCTAATTGACACCATTTAAGTCGTCAGACTCCTGCCAAAATTGAAGCAAGGAGAACTTCCTCTTCTAAGCAGACAGCCTTACCCATTGTCCTGGTTCTGACCAGGACAGCGTTAACTTTTGCAGCAGCCAGGAAGGGCACACTAGGACCCTGGGGTTATTCCATACCACCACATGTCATGAGGAGGGGACAGAGGGGATGGGGGGTACGCTTCTTGTTCCAGGCCTGTTAGGTCAGGGCACAGTGTGTGTGGACAGGCAGCCCGGATGGGCAGCGCCAGGTTCTGCATGGTGAGCAATCACACATGAGTCGATCACCTGTCTTGTACACTCTATTAATATAATTGTTACTGTTCATTTTTTTACTTCATTGCTGTTTCTTAGTAAATTGTTATCTCAACCCATGATCTTTACCTTTTGTGTCTCCAGTTCCCTCCATCCAGCTGCAGGGGGAAGGGGTGGGGGAGCAAGCGAGTTATGTGTGGTCTGGGGGTTATAGTGGAAACACTAACTTGGGGGATACCACTCCTAAACCACAACACCCATCCACTGCTTGAGCCAAGATGCAGTGTGGTCATGGCACTAGATGTATCACTGCCTAAAGTTAAAGCTTTCCAGGTTTGCAACAGTAGCTGAGCCTTCTCAGTCGTGGCTGTGTGGCTTCTTTTTCTGGTTTGTAAATGCAGAGGTTCTGCTCTTGGTGGAACCTCTGCTCCTGCCCCCTGCCACACCACGGCAGGTCCTTCCCCTCTGAGGAGCTTCATGTCTATCGTGACCTACAAAATCAAAGTAGTCACTCACAGCAGTAGATTATAGATGTGACTTGTAACTGCTGGCTGCAGAAGAACATGTTCCTTGTGAAACATCCTGTCTGTGGTCGGGTGGCATTCGCAGTTCACATTAACCCATGTGTTTGCTCTCTCTCTCATGTTCAGTGATTGCTATTGATATTGATCCCGAGAAGCTGAGTCTTGCGCGCAACAACGCGGAGGTGTACGGCGTGGCAGATCAGATAGAATTCATATGTGGAGACTTCATGGTGCTGGCTGCTGACCTGCAAGCAGATGTTGTGTTCCTCAGCCCACCGTGGGGGGGACCTGACTATGCCACTGCCGAAATCTTCGATATCCAAACCATGATTTGCCCAGACGGATATCCTTTCAGAGTTACACACTTGTGATTTTCGGTCATTTACAAATGGCTTTCTCTCTTTCTTCTTTTCTATCTCTTAACATGGGCTTTGCATGTCCAGCTGGCTGCAGCTGAAGTCCCAGGTGTGCCACCTGTGTTTAGTCTTACTTCCACAGCCTCAGCCTCATGACTTTGACTACCTAAAATTAAGTATTTTTATTTTAAATTTTTATTTAACAAAAAGCCATAAAGAGTTAAAAGTAAAAAATCTGTTAGAGAATTGAATAGCTTCTCAGTTTAAAGCATTGATTCAGCAGTTTTAACTCCTTTATATTATTTTATTAAAATACCCTGAAGTAATCAAATAGCCACGTGATGTGTATAGTTATGTGAGCTATGACTTTGTCATTAATTCCACTTTTTAATTGATTTGTAAAGGGAATATCTTACTCAAACTGTTCTCAGTCATAGCACCTGCCTGTGACTTGGAAAGTTTGAGAAGAGTATAAGCAAAATATTTACCCTTTTAATTAATGTACAAATTGCATACTAACTTAGTGGTATTGAGCACTTGTTCATCTGGGAACGTATTAGCATAACAGTTTTCTCAAATATGAAGTGGGGGAGGGGTTGTCCCAAAATATCTCAGTTGTTTCCTTTTTGGCTAAATGTAGCCACATTTGTAAGAGTAAGAAAATCTTTGTCTGCATGTGTGAGAGATTCCACAACATGGGTTAGAAAACAAATATAAACCACATGTATTGTTTACAAACTACATTCAAATTTCTGAAATATTCCTCTGTAGTTCAGTTAAATCTTCTCAAAAAGTGAGTGTTGGGGACTTTTTTCTACCTTTTAGGGCACTAATGGTGAAATAGAGTTTCTGCATTTAGACAACACTAATTTTTGCATTTCAGAAGAGAATCCAACTCAGACTCAAAAGACTACCTATAATTTATTTGCATAATTGAATTTGAGACATACTTTCAAAATTAATTAATATAAAGCAACTTCTCTCTCCACATTCTTGTTTTTTTCCTTTACTGGCTTCTACATTTGAAATTTTCAGGCTCTCCAAGAAGATCACCAACAATATTGTGTATTTTCTACCTCGTAATGCTGATATTGACCAGGTATGTTACTGGATAAGAGTTCACTAATTAACAAAATGCTCAGCTGGCTTACAACATAGGTATTATAAGCACAAACTTAAGACTTCTAAGTCTGTTCAACTGAATGAGGAGTGTTTGGTTTTTGTAAGTATGACCCTTGTGTAAAGTGACTTTTGCAGTCACTTTTGCACTTACAAAGTGATGTTTGCAGTATTTCTGATATATTTTGAAATGGGAGTAGTAGATTATTTCCATGATTTCAACACTATTCCTTCATAAAGCAACAGATTGAAGGTTCTTATAGAAGGTCCAAGGCTGGTAGTGAGATAGATACATCATTATAAAAGAAAAAGATCTGTTTTAACCAGCTCTTACTATCTGATAAGTTGCTGGGTCCCAGACTTTCAAGGCTTGCAGTTTATGAAGGAGTTTCAGGAAATTACTATACAGCCTGCAGCCACTGCTGTCGGTGATGAGTAGATCAGACACGAATGTCATGCACCGGAGATGGTACTGGTGCTCTGCACAGAAGTGAGTGGTTCCGTATGGGCTGCTTGCATTGCAGTGATTGATGATGAAACACATAATTTGTTTCACTGGTGTGGGTTTTTTTTGTATCAGAGATTTTTGTTAGAATCTGGTTTTTAAGCAATAAGGTGACTGTAACAATTCCACTAAGTGTCTGGTTTCCTCTGTCTGTTTTCTATGTTAATTATGTCTTGTAGCTTTTTGCAAAGAAGGGAGCAGTTCTCCTCGCCTGCAACATGTGGCAGAACCTCCCAGGATTATTTCCTCCTTTTGCAAAAGCTATGTCTCACTTAGAGGAGGCAAGGTATCAAGCCATATGGTGGCTTGTGGTATCAGTGGTGGCAAACAGCTGGCTTGAGAAACAGGCTGACATTCACATGGCCTAAGTATTAGCACACTGAGCCCATGCTGTGCACAGCACCATTGGTATGGCAGGTGATGATTCAATTCCTTTTTGCATTTCAGGTTGGTGAAATGTCAAAGTGACTTATGAATCTTTGGATGGGGACCTGAATTTTAAGAATATTTTCTCTAATTTTAACTTTTTGCCACTGCATTTTATCAAATATTTCATTCCCATGATGAAAAATGACCTCAGTAATTTTCTGCTCTGCTCATGAGCACTTTTTCCTGGATTTATAGATGGGCAAAGGCATCTACATTTCACTTACGCAAAAGAATCCATGAGTACTCCCCACAGACCTGCACCTCTTTCTGCAAAAGAGCTCAGCATTTCTAAGTGTTTGGCTCAGGTGTCTTGTCACCTCTAATCTCAGTGCAATTAGCTCTGAATGCTGTTGATGTGCATCCATGGGTTTGCTTTTACACAGGTGGCTGAAGAGCAGCAGCTATTGCTCAAAACCATGGCTTAGTTGTTAAAAAGTATGTGGCTGGAGGCCTGGATTCAGTTCACTATTCCAGGCTATGGGCTACTTGCAGGAAGAGAAATCAGCTCTTTATACCTTTCTCTAGAGATTGCATCAGTATGAGAAAAAAAAACCACACTAAAGGTTGATGATCTGAGAGGGAGGGAAGAGAATGTGAACCTAGCCCATTGTTTAGGGAAATGTTTTAATCCTGTGTGGACAAAGGTGTGTCAAATATGACTGTCCCAAACATGACCTTAGTGGGTACTCTGGGCCATAGGACACTAGTTATGGGTTTGGCTGCCAACATCTCTGGCTGTGTTGAAGAATGACGTTTCTGGATTTACTACTTCTACAGTTGGAGGGCTGTGAATCTCCAGAAAAAAAAGATTTATCATTGAAGTTCTTAACGGTAAAGACAGTTCTCTTCTAATTTGCTTGTTGCTTTGCCCACAGCTCTCATCTGTGTTTCCTCATGGACCAAATAGGGTGGCTTCCTCTGCAACAACTGCCTTGACAAGGGCCTGTGGGCACCACCACATGGGTGTAATGATGTAGCTTGGCTTGTGAATGTAGTCCATAAACTCTAGGGGCCTATAAAAGCCTGGTGAAGTAAACTTAAAACATTTTTTGCAGAAGACTAATACCTGAAAACTGAATAACTTGGATACAGTAGTATTTGTTGAACAGATTACCTGCTCCCTTAGATTTGAACGGAAACTTACAAACCTAAGTTTGATTTATGATAACATTGCTCAGGCATGTAGGATTTGCCTCTTCTGTGTCCTCAGAAGTTAACTTTGTATGCTCATACACATACATATATAAGGCTTTCAGAGATCACTTTGCTCCTAGAATAGGTGGTCTAACATGCTTAATGTGCGAGCTGGGAGCTGTTAAAACTTACATACTTGGCCTCTTGCCTCTCGTTGACTGGCTTGAATCTACATCCAAGGTGTGCTTGTATTTTTGTCAATTAAAATTGAGTTAGAAGCTCACTTAATTGCCATTGCAAACCTCAGTGAAGATGTTTATACTGACTGTAAGACACTATCAGTGCAAGTTTGCTCATGTCTCTGTATTTCAAGGAGAAATGGAAATAAAAGTCCAGCAGTTGGAAGCAACCTTACAATAAGAATGCTGTTTAACCTTTAGTTAATCTTTAGTGGAAAATATGTACTTCTTTTTACAAAATATAGCAGTTAGGTAACTGTTAGATAGCTAATATAGACTAGGGATCCTGCTGCTGGTGTGAAAGCAGGTTGTGGCTGACCTTGACCTAGCTGTGTTGGAGAACTTGGTGATCATTGCTTTATCGGTAGACAAAATATCCAGCCTTGTTCCACATGATTTTATTGCAAAAGCAGTGCTTATTATGTCTGCAGGCATGGCCTTTTCTGTGTAGAGTTCATCTGTTAGAGAGGAGGTTCTTTGGATTAGCATAGAAATTCAAGAGTTTAGATCGAGGAGAAGTGAACTTTTGTACTTCTGCCTCGAGAGGGAGCAGCGAACCGGTGGAACATGGTCGGTGCATTTACAGGAAATATAAAAACATTTCCCTGAATTGCATCAAATCTTGTTTACAAACATGTATTTGTTAGAAAATTTGTAATGTATGCGGGTCCAGTTTTAGGCTGGATCAATCTTTCACAATATTCTTTCTAGTTAAGGAATAATCAGGGATTATATATAAATGTGCATGCACATACATTAGAAAATATTGGCTTTTTAATGCCTATTATGTAGCTCATGTGACACTCCTGTTGAGTCTTTTCTTTCTATAAGTTTTTTTCACATCCTGTAAAAAAAAAGGAGGATGGAAAGTTGCAACAGACACCTCCATGAGTGTTAAGTGTTTAGCAATCTGTGCTCTGCCTCCTTGTGCAGAGTGGGAAGTGTGTACTCACCTCAGGGACCAGGATTCATCTCAGGTAGTCTGATCACTTTCATAGGCTGTTTTCTGTACCAGATTATTCTTCTGTATCTTAATATTTGCAAAAAGAAGGAGAAACCTGCAATTTGTTCCTGTAGGGCCTTCTTCCTAATGGTGGGATATGTTCTTTTCACCTGATTGCAGAAGGCATACTTGGTTGCTGTTGCTCTCTCACTGGTGGTCAGAATGGAGTCAGGATGTGTGATGGCTCCCCACAATAAACTGATGAGCCTCAGATGGTGGAGACCTGGTATGTTGTGAGACAGAAGACCATATCAACCTCTTTACCAGCCTGGCCAAATTTGAGGGATTGAGTACTGAGGAGTTTATTACTTGTCCTGACTGTGGATAGAGCAGAACTTCTGGACTTCAATCTTCCTAAATCTCTTAGTGCTTGAATACTGAATTGTAGTTTGCCTACTTCAAGTTAAAAATAAATAAATAAATGTCTGGGCTGTCAAAGGGTGGCAGCACCACTGTGACATAATTCACTGTGCACAGTCCACCTGCAGACCTGTACTTATTGAAAAATGCTGCCTGAGAGCATTTGATTTCATTATGCTCAGTGTAAAGAATATCGTTGACTTCTTTCCCAAGTGGGTGGGCTTTTTCTCCCCCTAGCCTTTAGATTGGTTGCAGGGGAAGGGGGTTCCTCTTTTTACTAGTATTCTATAAAGTCACACAGTGTCCTTGTGTGACTGCCTATCAAGCCAAAAAGCTCGTATTTCTCATACCTCAGAACAGTTTCTTGGAGGGGGGAAAAAATGACAGTATGCTTTTTGTCCACAGTTACCTTAGTTGGTGGCTGGAATAGATAGGAGGTTACTTTACTAAAGGAATTTCTGTATGATTAAAAAGAACCCCAAAACCTGCAAGACCAAGAGGAAAACCTTCAAGTTCAAAAATACACCTGAAGAATATAAAGCAAGTTTGCACCTTAAGCAACTTGTGCTCCTGAAATAATCTTCCGTGTTAGTTTCCCTTTTTGTATTTCTTTTCTGATGTCTCCTATTTTAAACTTGAGACCAAACCTGTTGGCTACATTTTTTAAGCTCTGTGGCTGCATCTGTAGCTGTGGACTTTCTCTGTCAGTAGTCACAGAACTGAAGGATGAAGCATCCAGGTGAGAGGGATGCAGGGAGGGGTCAATGCAAAATAAAGAAATTTGGTCTAGACCAGTTTTTAAAGGAAATTAAAAAGCCTTTCAGTATTCACTGTTGTAGTTCACTGTGAAAACAGCATCTCTAAAAATAGGTGAGCACCTTTGTTTTTCTCAAAGCATCATTCCTCAATCTGCTGTTATTTTTACAGGGCATCCCTCCGCCAAGCTGGTACCTTTCTGAAGCTTGGTGTGTGGCAGCTTTCCCTCATTCCCCAGTCAGGGTTGACTGAGCCCTTCTGAGAAAAACTTGACAATTTCTATGTAATTAAATTTGCAACCTCCAGCAATTTACAAATAGGCATCATCGCTGAGGCTGTGTTGCTGTCCTCTGAATATCAGGGTGCGTTGGAGAGTGTACAGTGCCAGATCTACCGCTGCAGAGCTTGCACCCGTGTGCTTATTTAAATTTTTCTCACCTTTGGGTTTATCAAATACTTTTAGTTGTTTGAAATTAGTCTCAGTTATCCTGGATTTAACACCTAGAGCCTAGGCATGGCTTATGTAAATTCTCAGCTGTCCTTTGGTGGACACCACGTATCAAATGTAGGAGCAGCATTTACCTGCATTAGTGATGAAGCATCTTGTTTTACTCAGTCTTCTAAGAGAAATATTTAGTAAACACTTGTGTTTAATATCAATGCATTAGTCATACTTAGATACGCTAGTGACACAAACTGTGCCATGAAAACAGGAGTGCAGAACCCCAAGACAGCAATTTCAGTATTCCTATATTTAGTTGACTAATCCAATTAATATTTTAGAAGACTTAAACAACATTAGTTATAAAGTGCAGTCTCTTAATGTTTTCTGGAAGGGACCTTCCAGCTTTTGTATGTAATAAATTAAAAGCATAAACTCAACAGCTTCCTAGAAAAAAAGTATGGATCACCCCACAATGGTAACTGCTTTTAGGATTTCAGGTGAGAACAGGTAAGTTGTAAAATTAACATTCCTGATGGCATGCCAATTTCAGATTCTTGTGGTATTTATAAGTCAGCCAGCCTCTGCTTTTCTACTTAAGTGGCAGGTTCCTCTTTGACAAGAACGTGGAGGGGGTTTTTCCTATCACTGTTAAACTGAAAAATGAAGAAATCACTCACACTTTTGGTTCTGTCTGCAGAAACAAAAATATTAAAAGGGAGAAAACAAAACCAAAACAGAAAAGTAAATGCTTGATTCAGATAAGTGTTGTAATTTTCTGGGCAAGTCAATAAAGGTTCAAAGTATAATTTAAATTAATCTATTATTTTCTCATGAGAGTAGACTGCTTTTTTACTTAGAGTAAAACAGAGGAAGTTCAGCGTGTTTATATTTAAACCTGTGCGACAGAGTCAAGTCTCAGGGGAATTTAGAAGTGTTAATAACACAGCCTGAACTTTAAGTTTCAACTGCTATCATCATCTTGGTTTAAAGATCAGTTAAAATCTACTGCAGGCTTGTAGAACTTGATTGCTTTATGTCTACCGGGGAAGTGTCCCTGCATAGGGAACTACAGAAATAGTTTTCCTGCCACAGCCTGGGAAAACAGCAGCACAGAGCAGAAGTGGCTGTGCAGCAGGGACTCCCACCACACCATAGATCCTTGGGGTTCAAGGTGAAGGAAAAAAAAGCAGTCAATGTTCAGTTTTGGTGTTCTTCCTTCTGACTCTGCAGTCTGTCCTGATGAGAAATTGGTGGTCTGTAGGCTGTCATCCCTCAGAGGCATCGCACTAGGCATCATGAGTAGGAAGAGGAAAGGGGAGAATATGGCATGTTCCAGTCCAAAATGCAAAGTCCAATGCTAAATGTTGTCTATCTGTAATCATTAAGCACTAAAGGTGTGTACCAGGCTCAGTCAACAGAGCATGAATGGTGAAATTCTCACTCCAGTGATCATAAACATGAAGATGGGACCAGCACTGCCTGATGGGCTCTCCCTGCCTGCAGATACAGTGCTGCCCCCAGCCTTACCCTCAGGGCTGCCTGGGACTCCAACACACACAACAGCATTTTATTTTTGGTTGCAATAGCAACAACAAAAAACCTGTAACTGTTCTTTGAGTTCTCTGCCTGTTCAGGGATTGGCTTTGTTTTGATTGTTCCACATCAGGTACACCTCAACTCTTTAGAGCAACCCTTATGCTTCCTAATTCTAATTCCTAAGATCAGTTTCACTCTTCCCCCAAAATTAGGGGTCTGACATCTTTAAAGCACAGGGTACAGCTTTGCTTTTTGCTGCAAGTGCATGTCTTGAATGCCATGTACACTGCAATCCAGACTTTAGCATCTCTTGCCGCAAAACAGCATGTGACATTATAAGTATTTATCTTTAGTTCTAAAATCCTCTTATTTTCATGGGGAGGGTCAGTCACAAGAAAGCCACAAATCACTTCTGTGAGTAAAAGAAGACAAAAAAAGAGGATCAGAGGCATTAGGTGCCAAGGAACATTTTCACCAATATTAACAGAGCAAAGATTTGTTTTATGTGGTATTTCATGCAAGTAAAAGGTGTGGGGTTTTGCTTCTTCTGTGCATTGATTGGTTTCCTTTTTGTTGTTTGTTTTTCAGGTGGCTTCCTTAGCAGGCCCAGGAGGGAAAGTTGAAATAGAGCAAAATTTTCTCAATAACAAACTGAAGACAATAACAGCTTATTTTGGTGATCTAATAAGGCATGACATCTGAACTCAGTGTGGATTCTTCCAAACATCCCTGACTGTGCTTTGCTTAAGCTTTTGTACAGCTGGCTGGTCAAAAATGACTTAAAGCCATTTTCCACTTTAATTTCTGTTTACAGAAATTTGTTCTTTTATTCCTACTGTCAATAAATGTTTTATAATTATTTTGACAAAATTGTAAATGTAGAGAAGCTGTGAATGTATGAAAAAAGATCTTTATAAAATGCAGTCTTGCAAGGTTTGAGCCCAACCCATGGAAGGGGAGTTCAGGATTTCTTTGCAACTCTCACGTGCTACTTCTGTGCTCGCTCTGGTTTTGAGCATCCAGAGGGTTGAGAAGAAGAATAGCCTGAGAACCTCCAAGTGTCAAGAGCTGTTGTCTGTGCTTGAGAAGCAAACGTGTCTGAACATCAGGTGGAACTAGATGGTCAGGTACACCACAAAAGGTTAACCTCTCTGCAGCACATGGTCACTGGGAAACCTTTGAAAGTTTTCTTTGTAGGATGAAGGTTCACACATTACTTTCAGTGAGTGCTCTGGCTTGTTGCAGCACAAGGTAAGAGCTGGGCGTGTTTGTCTGGTGGCAGGGCTCTACCCTCTGGGTTTGTCAATTTTTTCCTCCTTGCCAGTCCTCTTCATTACAAAGATATTTTGAAGAAACCTTGTAACTGGGGGTTTGTATTTTTTGGATAATTTTGGAGCCCTCTTTTTGAGGCCTTTTGGATCCTTGCACAGGTTTCAGGGAGGACAGAGGGAGCCCAGCTCTCGCTGGTGAGGGCTCTTGGCTCCCACTTGGGGTTTGGGAGTGAAGAGTGGCTTTTGAGCACTTCTCCAAGCAGAAGAGGAGGCAGGCAAGAAGTGTTTAGGGCATGGATAAGGTGCTCTCGTTGAAATGCTCTTACAGTAAGTCCCCAAACTCAATATTGAGCTTGTTTTTGAGGTAAGAGTGTAGGAATAATAATTTCTAAGACAAATTAATGCTGCTTCTCCTCTGCTTGGAGTGCAGCAGGATGCTGAAGGCAGCAGAGACTAAGCACTAAACCATGTGTTAGTGCTATCAAAGAAAACTATAACTGTGTAGAACAACCAAATGAGTGGGTCTATTTTCCCCATTAAGGAATGAACTCCAACTCTTCAGGTCAGTTAAGAGACCAAAGTGTTTGAGTGTATGGGATGTTAAAAAACATGCAACCTGAGTTGCAAGTTTGCAGTGCAGTAAAATAGCACTTGGGAAATCATTTCTTTCTAAGTTTACTGTCCACCCAGTACCAGACAAGTGCTAAACTCTGATCGACTGTTACATCCATGCTTCACATAAGGTATATTTGTTTACTTTGAAGATAATTTGGCTAATTTGGATCACTGCGTTTTGCCATTGTGCTACAGCAAAGAAGACGTATTGTGATAGTGCTAGGCTCTGTGTCAATATTTAAAGAGAATTCTAAAGAAAATACTATTTCTCAGAAGTTTGCTATTAGGTGGTAGAGGAGCTTGGCAAGGATGCTAGTATTACAGGAGCACCAAACATTCTGTGGCTGTGGCATGTGAATGTAATAATGCTGTTGAATTTTCACTACAAGCTACAAAAAATAATAACAATCCAAGATAGTCCTGAGGCTAAATGAAGAACAGATTAATTCGTACTGTGTATGTCACAGTACCCTGTACACTAAAATTTTACTATATTTGGCTTATTGCTGCTCAGAGAACTACAGCCTCAAAAATAGTCTTATTATTTGATCTCATTTTCCTCCCTAAAGTTAAGGAGATGCTTTAGAAGCATTTTGTGATCTCACTGATGCTAATCCTGTAGAAGGAAGCCCTCAGGGGGAAATGCTTGTGAACTTACTTTTATGTTCAGGGAAATAGTTAGATATTGTTCAGTGCCTAGTGTGCAAAATGTGGAAACTGAAATATAAAAGGTACAACATTTGCTGTTTTAATGTTTACTTCCATTATATAATGAACTTGGTGGCTAAAAAAAGGAACAATTTCTCAAAGGTCTCTGCTGAACTTTGCAATAACATGAAGCACCAGAAGCGGAAGAATGTCTTTGTTCAGGGCTGTTCCTCTCTGTAACCAAGAAGTAGAAAAGGTGTTGGCTTTGTTTTAAATACAGCTTGAAGTTAGAGTACACTGCTATGTTGTGATAAACATTTTGCCTTCAGCTTCTTGCACAGACCAGGTGAAGTTCCCCAGGGCTGTGAATCAGTCAGTCAGTTAAGCCTAAAATCCATCTATGAGTATTTTTACTTTTTTGTTGGCAATTTCAACCAACAAACTCTTCATGGAGGACAACTTCAGTCATGAGTTTCCATAAAATGTTATTTTGCTTTATATTGCAGAAAAAAAGTTAACATGGGCTGAGACTCTTTAATTTCTCAACAACTCATACCCAGTATTTTAATACCCTTTTGGGTTTTGAGTAGTATTTTGTAACTGATATGTTGGGCTACAAAGAAGTTGCATTGCTACTGTAAATACTCATAGAGGTTTGGTCTTTTACCAATTTTAAGCCACAAAATAAAGTATGGGATAAATAGAGATATTTTTTTTTGCAAGTTAGCTAATATTTGGACTAAATGAAATAAATACATACTATGTTCTACTTTCCAGAGTGCTCTTGAGCCCCTAACCTCTTTAGGTTTATCTTAATTAAATCCAATATTAAACCAAGCCCATCAGTTTCTTTTTCTGGTGCATGGTATGAAGAGGAACGATGGAACATGCAGTTATGTGCATTGCAGGGCTGAAACCTAATTGCAAGTTCGGGGGCACGAAAGCAGAACAACAGTGGGGCTGAGTCAGTATTGTGCCCTTTTCTGAAGGAGGTCCTGTTAGTGTTAAGGTAAAAAATTAACTGCTCCATGAGTTTTCACGTACACATTTTAGAAAACCTCCCCAAGTGCAGGGTTTCTGAAATAACATCTGGGTCTCTATGTGCTACTCAGGGGTTATATAAACAAATTCATGTAACACCACAGTGACCATGCTAACATTTAGAAGAGGGAAACCCCATAAATAGCAGAAGGAAAAAATTACTTGCAGTAACTCATTGAACAAATTAGTAGAAAATTGGGTCATTTCCACTTGGTTTACTCACTCTGCTTTCATATGCCACATACTGTTTGCTTTAACTGTCCTCCCCTCACAGAAAAGTCTTCCCACCTCCAAATACTAAGGAAGGAGGGTAATCTTATCACATAGTGTGAACTGATTTCCCATTGCTAGTCCAGCCTTTCCAACACAGTTATCTTCATATTCCTGCCACTGGAATATCATTGTGCAATCCAAAGTACTTTTAAAAAGTAGATTTTCAATGGTGAGGAAGTTTTAGATTTCTTTATGAAGACAGAAGAGATATCTTTACAAGTGTGTGTTGCAGTGAAAAGACTAAATGCTCTAAAACCAGGCTTGAAATCAGTTCAGACCCTCTCCTGTTTCAGCTGTCAGATGCTCAATTGTCAAGCATCCAGCCTGTTCCATCAGGATATGATAAATATGCACACTCAAGCAAAGTACTTGTAAGAGTGATGCTGCGTTGATTCAGTTAAGCGAAGTCCCCCAAACACCAAATCAATTCACGCAAAAAAAAAAAAAAAAGGTAGCTTGTTACTTGGCAGGCTGCAAAAGTCATCACTTGGTGAAAGGAAGCAATAGGAATGGCTAAAGCTGGCTGAAGTGACTGAATCTACTGAGGCTGGACATTCACCCAAGAACGGAAAATCTAGCTGCAATCATGCAAGGAGGAGGCAGGAGTAAGGGCTGAGTCTGCAAACAGGGCTTGCTCATCCCGGGTCTACTCAGCATGGTCTTGTGGTGCCTCTTACCCATGCCTGAGGCTTTGGCAGTGCCTGATGGATGCTGTGAGCAGGGGTGTTGCCCAGGGCAGAGGTGGGGAGAACAGCAGCCCAACTGGGAGCCCTAACAGTGCTGGGCTCTGCTCAAGAGTTTCCTCACCTGGGGGAATTCCCAGCCAAACTGTGCATACAGCTCTGCGAAACACCTCCTGAAACATCCCAGCAACCTAAAGGTCAGCGCTGGGTTTCGCCATATGAACATCCAAGGATCAGTGTTGTTTTAGCACATGTCATGACAGGCATATCTCTGGGTGTCAGGGAGTGTGTTTTTACTGTCAGCCCCTTCTGGGCCCTTCTTCAAGTCTCAAGCAAATGCATTTTCTGAGCTCTTCCTTTCATCATATCTCTGAGGTCTTGGCCTGCCACCTTACGAAGTTCCAAAACCAAAGCAAGTTTCAAGGTGTTTCCAAGCAACACAAGCTACACTGAAAACCCAAAACATTGCTCTGGGTTTCTGGGTTCTCAGACCACTGAGGAAAAATAAGTGCTGTTGGAGGCAGTCTGGGTCTGATGACAGTGTGATCCTTCCTGCCTCCCTCTGTCTCAACTCATTCTCTTCCTTTTTCTCAAGGCTGCACTGCAACCTTCCTCTGAAACCCCTGTGGTTTATTAGAGGAGTGCAATGGCAATACCAGAGTTTTACCACTGTGCAAACATGAGTACAGAGGCTCACAGTACATCTTCAGTGTTTTGTGAGTCATGAAATGCCTTTCCCCAACCTTTTCTCCTAAAAATATGTCCAAAGAATGGGCATCGGGGAGGATATTCTTCTGCATAGTTATCACAAGTTGATGCAGGTTGAATAAATACATTTATCATATCGGTGCACTGCTACCTCGACCTCTGGGGGTTCTTTCACATTGTCACAGTGTCAGACACAGTGATAGTGACAGTGGCAAGAGCTTTTGTGAAAGGTGGTATTATGATCTGACAGCAAAACCTGTCCTAAGGTATTCATTAAATTGTTCCAGGCACCAGGACAGCCTATGATTATATCAAACGGGAGCAAATTGTATGCTCTGCTTTCCCGGTATGCACGAACTTAATCTCAAAGTCTGCCTAGGCAGGTTAAACACATACAGCTTTGTTCAGGAGGACTCCAGACTGCAAGAACCCATTGCCCCAGAGGGTCACTCAGGGGGGCTGCCTGTGCCAGTCTGTGCTGGTGTGGGAATGATTTCCATGGATGCACATTGCAGCTGAGCTTATCCAAGGGGTTCCCTCAGATTTGGATGTTCCCATTTGTCATTCCCAATGTTCCCATTTGTTCCCATCAACATTTGGATGTTCTCAGCAGATGCAATGTTAT